TAATTAGTCAAATTAAATAATTTTTAAATAATCTTAACAAAATAATAAGTGTTTGTGTATCTTCAACAGTTTTTTTATACCATTTATACACATTTTTTACTTCACAATAAAATTTTACAATTATATGGAATGGTTGCAGCGGGGTAGCCAGGATTTTAGGCTATAGGGGCACAATTTTAAATTATAAAATATTTTATTTCAAGTTAAATATATGTATTGTTCAACATCTATAATTTCTTATTATTAAGATAATTTATAAATTACAAATTAAAAATACTCTAAAACTAATGAAAAAATAAAAATACAACAATAATAAAATATAAATATAAATAAATAAAAATGATAAAAGAGAAAGAGATGAAATTACCTTCATTTCTTCTACTATATTTACCTAAATCCTACAAATTAATATGAAAAATATTCAAATCTTAAAAATTAAAAAAAATAATAAAATAATCATAACAAACGAAATAGTAAATAAAAACCAAAAAAGAAAAGCTTTATAAATTGATTAAAACAAATCAAAACCTTTTTAGAAATCAGACTAACTTGTGTAAGTATATTAAATTGTAAATTGAAACAAAAACAAAACAAAACAAGTCTACATATCTAAATTTGCATTGTAAAGGACTAACATAAGAATAAATATAAGACCGGAACCCAAAACTAAAACACTTGTTAACAAAATTGAGATAATCATGGAATTGATTTACAACATGACAAAAAGATTAATAGCATAAATTCACAATAATTTAAAGTTAACAAAAATTCTTTCTCACTATCAATAAGAACTAATTAAAAAACTAGAGCATAAATAAATTAAAGATTAAACAATATAATTAAATAACCATTACAATTAATAAAAAATGTCCTTATAATTTAATGATCACCTTTTCTTTATAAAAAAACTTTTCATACTAATTTAGTAAGTGTGAAATTCAAGTCTCACATCAATATTTTTTTTAAAAAAAACCATTACAATTAATAAAATTAAAAGTCAAATAAGCATTAACGTAAAGTCCAAAACCAAAAAAATTAAAATTTACGGGTGCCTAGGCCCCTCCAGCCCCCCCGACTCCGCTGGTTTATGATTTAATTTTTTTAGTAAAACTAAACCTGTAAATACATGCATCTGTTTGTTGTTTCTGCAATCTGCATGTTCTGAAAGGGGTTAGCCACTTGTCCTTGTAAGGGGGAATATCAACCCGGGCCTGATATTCGATTTCTTAAAGACAAATAATTGCCCTATTTAAAAAAATAAAAAATAAAAAATAAAAAAATTCCTGTATTAACGTTTTTTTTTTAGTTTTTTTTTTTAAATTTATGCTCTTAATAATTTTTTAATATTAATTATCATTAAAAAAATACTTGTA